AAGTGGTAGCTCGGCTTTTGGTAGGTCTGAGCTCCTATGAAGTGTGAGAAAAATGAGATGGAGAGCTCCCTGAAGGAGAAAATGGATGATGGGGTCAGCCTATTGAACCAGGCTAAGGCTAAGCCTTTCAAGGTAATAGTAAAAGCTCGACAACACACTAGGTCTTGGTACCCATGTAACTCCATCTGATTTTTATAAGTGTTGAGATGTTCCATGGAATCCTTCGTTCCCATCTGTGGCATTCTGAACTTTGGTGGAAGGGAAAAATGTAGCACCTCTAAGGTGAAGGAAGACTCCATCTATCGGACTTGGGCGTCCTTAATCATCGGAGTTTTGCCCCTTACAGCTTCCTATATATAGCTGAGCTCCTATTGGATTTCCTTGAAGCGTTGCTCCCAGAATTGCTCCTTCCTTTCCTACTGGAATGGGGGAAGCTCGTTCTTATGAGTCCTCCTATTCTGGCTTTGCATTTCCTTGTCTTCTCCATTATTTTGACAATGTATGTTATCGAATGATTGGTTGTGCTCATTCTCCTCCGTATGTTTCCTTAAAGGATTGAGACGTTGATGCCCCCCATGTTAGGGACCATCCTGGGCTAGCTGTGCCCTCTGAGGTTGCTGGGCTCGGATGAGGTTTAGTAGTTCCTCGTTTTGTTGGAGGAGACGCTGATTGACTTGTCGAAGGGCCTCGAGTTCATTGTTTAGAAGAGGATTCACCATTGGAGGGTCAGCTTTAGGATTAGGCAAGTTTTCCTGATGTTGTCCAGTGGCGAACTCTGGTTGGTTCTGTAAACACAGAGGGTTCATCTGACTTCTGCTCATGTTGTGCATAGAAACCATCAATTATTGAAGAATTCAATAGAGTTTTTACAGGAACAATTGTTCCCACAAACAGTTCCAACTGATGATGTATGTCACACAAATGAGTAGAGCTTTATGATAGCTAGGGATTGAAGGGCTTAGTCGAAGCTCTTAGGTTCTTAAGAATTGAATAGGGGAAAGGGGGGTTTGTACACAGAGTTTATAGTGATTTACTAGCTCAGAAACTCGAGTAATCCACTCTAAAGAGAGTATTTTGCTCCTGGAGATATTATTGACAATGGGGGGAAGATTACATAGGGTATTTTCTTATGCTAATTGCTTGTGTTCTGTTGTGAAGGATATGCCTCTTATTTATAGTCTTCAGAGGCCTTGCATGATCCTGGGCATGATCTTTGCCCTCTTCTTGTAATGGTTGCGCCTTTTATGCTATTGTCATGGACATCATTGAGATGGTTGCAACTTTTTTACCCAGATGCATGACCGTTATGTTATGTATGGTGCTTTGGTGGAAGCTAGTTGTCTTCGATGCTATTCCAGTGGATGCGCAGTGACAGGGGAAGAAGTAATTGATCCCAAATTACTTAGCCATCCGTAATGGGCATAGTGGCCTGAACAAGGAAAGTTTGAGCTGAACACTCGAACTCAACCTTAAGCGTATTTTGGGTATCATCAGAAAATATGTTGAAAATTATGATAAATCATGGTAATTGGTAAATAAAAACTCATGTTAGCACTGAGAAATCCTGTAACCAATTCTTATTCAGAAACATCCTAATGACATGTACATTGTCAGTCTGTTGAATGGTACTACATTCAACAAAGCACCAATTCAGAATATGAAGCAAATGAAATGGAGGTGGTCTTAGGATTCTCACCATTCAGAACTCATATTCTATCTGTTACTAAAATTCTTACAATTTCAGATGACTCACCGCGACTCCTAGTAGTATTCTATTTAATGGGTCCACAATAATACAGGAATGAATTAAGACCATTAAGTGAATATATAAGTTGAGGATCCTATCCTGACATTTATGACTATTGCACGCATTTGATGAAGGGAAGGTGTTAGAAAAGAAATGGTTTAAAGTATCCGGTGATAATGGTGTAATTCAGTAGAGTTCTCTCTGGCACTATTTTTTTTACCAAACTATTCATGAGTCATGAGTCTCATCCAAGATGTCATCAAGTTAATCTCGAGTCATCCACCCTAATTACCGTGACCTTGATCATTACAAAGCTAGGACACCATAGTACTAATATTCGAATAACTACAACAGATGGGCAAAAAGATTATCCACCACTTTTCAATAAATTTCTCCTCAATAAAAGGCATAATATTTCGAACATTCAAGAATCCCGGGGGCAACAACTTGGCTTGGCCACAATGATTGACAATTAGCAAAGAGCTAATAATCACTCACTTGTTTAATCAAGTTGGTGGAGAAAATAATTAGGAACCAGACTTTAATACAAATCTCTATGGAGGGTATCAACATAAAATAAAAAAGCATTCCCAAAAAGACACTGCTAAGAATCATAGTAAACAATGTTCAGAAAGATACAGCTTTGATCAGGCAGAGAGGTCCCTTTGCTGTTCTCTCTTTTTTCCCAAAGTGCTTGACAGATTTAGTGCAGCTGTTATTCTCTTATTTTAAGGAAAACTGGCTATGTTTGCTTTCCATTTTTGTCAGTGCTTGACAGATGTGCTGTTGCTTCCCTGTCTAGAAATTGATACTTTACTAAATCCAAATAAATTCCCAAGTAATCATATTCGAGCAATTCCACGTAATTAAATCTGCAATGAAGGAAAATTATTATATCAATGGCTGTTGTCTAAAAAAATTGATGAGGTCTACTCATCTAATGATTCTCTTTGATTTAAAATAAAAATTTAGGTTACAAATTTGGGTTATATTATATTTTCCATATTATTCTTCTCCAATTTTCATATTAAATTTTCATATTAATTACTCTTAAACAACTATTTTCGAGAAAATCTATTGGAAAATTTTCAATCATACCCCCTTTAGTTTATCATATTTTTAAGGACATCATTTTTATTTTTTGAATCTTCACTGACACTTCTTGTCGGTTTAAAAATATTAACTATAATGTAATTTTACTAAATTACTCATGATATATTTGAAAACAAACTTCATTCACACCCCCTTTAGATAAGAATATCTTCAATGAGACCCTCTCTATTTTTTAATTTTTTCCACCTGTTAATTAAAATTTATTTTTTTACGTATTAAAATTTGAGCCTATTAAAAATTATATTTTTTATATATTAAAATTTGAGTTGATTAAAATTCTATTTGAATCAATTAAAAATTATTTTTAATCGACTCGAATCAAATTTAAATCAACTTGCATTGAATTTTAATCGTCCTAAATTTTAATACATAAAAAAATATAAATTTTAATTGACTCAAATTTTAATAATAAGTAAAAAAATATAAATTTTAATCCCCTCGAAATCAACTTTTAATCGGCGCTAACAGCTCGAATTTTAATACGTAAAAAATAAATTTTAATAGGTTTGAAATTTAAGACATAAAAAAAATAAAATTTAATCAGCTCGAATCGAATTTTAATCGACTCAAATTTTAATATATAGAAAAATAAATTTTAATCAACTCAAATTTTAATATGTAGAAAAATAAATTTTAATCGACTCGAATTTTAATAAAATTTTATGTAAAAAATTTATTTGGGTTTTATGTAAAGGCAGTTTTGGTATTTTAGATAAATGTTTTTGTAAAAAATTGTGGTTTAATGGTAGAGGGTGTTAAGGATGTTTAAATATAAATTATAAAGGGTGTCAGTGATATTTTTAATAATAGAGGGAGTGTCTTTATAGATATAGTAAATTAGGAGAGGTGTGACTTAAATTTTTCCAAATCTATTTTATAATTAAGGGGGCGATGAATCATCTGATACAATATTAAACAATTATCTATTCTAAAAATTTAAATAATTGAAAAGGGTATAACTTAAATATCTATAATTTAATATTAACATAACACTAAGTATATTCCATCAACTTTTAATGTTGCTGAATAAATCACGTCATTTGATATACGAGATTTTGTGAGAGTATTACTGCTCTAAATCCTTGCAATCTATTGCTGTGAACAAACATTCAATTTTGGTTGAAAAACAAAAATCCAAAAAGCCACATCTTGCCATCTCTACAAATTCTAGCACAAATCATTATGAGGACAACACCAATGTACCTCAACACCGCCTCTCAATTGATAAATCAATTATTTGGTGACCATCTTGCTTGTTAATTTATCAATTTGAATCCTAGGATTTAACCTGGACTAAAAGAACTATACAGCACAACTGAGAGCTGGAGTTCACCCCTTTCTTCCCATCTCTTCCATCCATTCTGGACTAATTTTACACCAGCCACTTGGACTTATATTCTTCTCGATCCTAGATTTCATCAACTCTTATTGTTGAATCTCTCCGTTCAAGTTAACATGTAAGTTACGTTAAGTGATCTAGAATTAAATGTTAAAAGTATAAGAGAAGACCCGAATCTCAGCAACTTGAACACATTCCGTTATGACAACGTGCATTGAATTTTCAATTTAAAAATCGAAAAAGCAATCTTTGTACTGTATGTAAAGTCGGTGAATTTAAATGCTAACCTTGAAGACGCATTAGACCATACATGGCCTTCTAATCCACCACCTTTCACCTTTTCATGTGAAGCAAACAAAAGAGAACATTCATAAAATGAGAACCTAGTCTACCAGCAAAAGGACAAAAAAAAGTAAAAAGAATCAACATTAAACCACAAAAAGATACAAAATTAAGATAGCATAACATTTACAGCAAATTTTACAGGGAGAGAGTATCAAAAGATAGTAACAAAGTTTTCTGTTCACATTTCACACATATCACCCATTGCAGATATTCCAAATGTTTCTCCATCAATACATACCCTAACTCTTTCACCAGATATTAAAACAATCAAACAACAAAATTCAAAGAATCCCCGAGAAATATGAATAAAATCCCCCCGACTTTTAAACTCAGCATCAAATTTAATGTCAACCAAAAAGAAAACCTTTATAAAATGACAAAAGAAGCCTTCTTATTCTGCATTTCAGTGTCTTCTATTTTGATTGAATCTGAAACCCAGAAATGCAATAACACTTCTCAATCAGAGGATTTGGTCTTGGATCTGTAGAGGAGCTTCTTCTTCTTAGAGGTTTGGTTGTCAAATGTGAGCACAACCTTGCCCGGCTCACCAATTTTGAAGCTGTTGCAGATTACTGGTTCCTCGGTTGGACTAATCTTCCTCGACTTTTGTATGATTACAGTGTATCCGTCCTCAGCAGTAGGAACGAATTCAGCTCCATAGCTTACTTCCCAGCCAACCACTCTGACCTCCCAAACCAAAGTGCATTTCTGCAAATCCAATGATCCCAAATTGAAATAGAACAATTAAATTACCTTCCAGGAATGTTGGATCATATCATTAAGAAATAATAACCCACCTCAGAGAGTGGGAATTCAACAGTGTATTTGGATGCGGGTTTGATAGTCTCCTCTGTTGCAGGGTCAGCAGTGGTGAATTCCTGCTCACCCTCCTTGCTAAGGCCACCGTATTGTACTGGAACTTGCTCAGGCGCTATATACCTGATTTTGTGTTTTAAATCATCCAAGACATACCAAAATTCGAATATCAGACATCATCCATCCAATCTAGTAAGCAATCAATATGATTGTAATATCCATGAATCAGCAAAATGGGAAAACAAGATATACTTACTTGAAGAGGGTCTCAGCAGATTTGGATGGACCTGCAAACACAAACTTGCTCTTGGTCCTCTGGGTGAAGAAAGGACTAATCATTCTATAAAAGGCCAGGTACCACCAAGGAACATTGATGAACACCTTTGCTCCACCAAACAACCAAACTCAAATTAATACAAGAAGTCAATAATACACAAACCTCCAACACACAGATTTTAAAAAGTCAATATAAATGTGCATATGCACGTGGCCATGATTATATACTACCAAACCCAAATCATATTGCTAAATTAAAGCAAAAACACCCACAGTAATAACCAGCAACCCCTATGCAAATGCATAAACATTTAATCATTAATATGTAACAGAATCAAAACCAACAAAACACATATGCATATGCATATGCATATGGCCATAATTCTATACTATCAATACCCAAATGATATTGCTACATTAGAACCCACAATAATCATCAACCCCTATGTCCATGTATAGCCATACAATCATCAATACTATAAGCTGCTGATCCCAAATGATATCAGTGCCAAAACCAACAAAAGAAATCAACAAACCAAATAATAATCATCAATCCCATGTACATAATATAAATATAATAATCAATATGTAGCAGCAAATCCCAAATCATATCAGTACCAAAACCAATCGATAAACCACATAACACCCACAAAAAATTGACATTTCGGGATGATTTGTATACCTGTTTGGCAACGAATTCGGGATAATTATCCTGAAGCAACTGGAGAGCCTTGTTGGTGGCTTGTCGGAGCTCTGTCTGGAACAATCCAGGAGAATTCTTCAGATCATTTACCTGAACAATTGTGCAAATACCATCAGGACTAAAATCAAGATTCCTAATGCTCTTTTCCAAGAACTGAATCCTCCACCGCAAAACTTGGTTCTCTTCTCTTCATCAGCAAAAGTGTTCTGATAAACTTGCTTGTCCTGAAACTCCCCAAACGCATTATAGCACACTGGGTGGCCTTCTTTATCAACCCCGTGCATGTACACAACCTTTTCCAGTCCACCACCCAAGTCTTCTTCAACTAATGATTCAATTCCGAACTCTTTCCTCCATGAAACCACGTTCTTGAGCATTATGAATGCTTCTTTAACCTTGAAGTCTCTGGCTCTGAGGAATTTTAAGAGAATAACATCACTTCTCTCATCGGCGAGAAGTGGAATTCCCCAGATGGAGACTTCCTCCGGTGGTGGTGGCGGCGGCGGTGCTGGGGCTTCTGTTTCCTCTTTGGGCTCCGCCGGAGAGGCTTCTTCGGCCGGGGCAGGCTCCTCCGGTGGTGGGGCCGGAGCGGATTCTTCGAAGATTGTCTCTTTGATTGCTTCAACAGTTTTGGCTCCGTCATCGTCAACGACAGCTTCGACTTTTTCTTCAATTTTCTCAACCACCACGGGTTCAGATGGTTCCGCCGCCGGTGGTGGTGGTGGAGGGCTGGTTTTTTCTTCTTCCTTTGGTTCAGCAGGTGGTGCTATGGCCGCAGGTTCGACTTTTGGAGGCTCTTCTGCGGCCGGTGGTGGTACATCAGCAGGAGGAGCCTCAGGTGGGACCTCGGATTTTTCTTCGGTTTTTGACTCTTCTTCAGCAGGGGGGGCATCGGTGGCTGTTTCCGGCTGTTTTTCTTCATCTTTAGCCGGCGGTGGTGGCGGTGGGGCGGTGAACTCGTGCTTATTCAACGCCTCCTGAACCAGCTCTTTGAGTTCATCCAAGGCCTTCTTTTCTGGGTCAGGAAGTTCACCCACCACGTTGCTTTCTTCTTTGAACGAAGCCGATTCGGTGATCTTCTCTTCTCCTTTCTCCTTCTCAGCCTCGACTACTTCTTCCACGGTGGCGGACTTCTCCGGCTCCGGCTCAGGATGTGGTGGTGCTTCTTTCTCCGTGATGGTGGTGGTGGAGAGTTTCTCCGCCTCCGGTACATCGGAAACAACCACCACTTCCTCCGTTGCTGGTGCTTCAGGGGCAGTTTTCTGAGTTTCTTCGGCCATGGTGGTGGACTTTGATTCTCAGTTTGATCAAAAACAAAGACTCTCAACAAGAGTAGTTCGCAGAGAGAGAGAGAGAGAGTGGGAGGAGAGGGTGTTCTGGAGGGGCTTTAAAAGTGAAGTGGTTTGTGAGAATGGAGACGTTGGAGGTGGGGGTAGTGGATATGGAGAGAATCAGTCTATCAAAAAGACTTGGGATTGCCAGCTCGTCACCCACTCTCTTCGTGGGGGCCACTCCACCTCAAAGCCGCTAATTAGCTATACTCAGCTGTACCTTCTTATATTATCATTCACGTCCATGATTTACATTTAGTTCATCAGACTTACCTTATACGGGTTTTTTTTTTTTTTTTTTTTTTTGGGTTAATCTCATTTTGTACTCCAAAAGATTGTTCGAATCTCAATTTACACTCTCAAAAATCAAAAATCTCAATTTACACCCTCAAAGATAGAAATTTGTATCAATGTGCACCCCCAAAGATCAAAAATCTCAATTTACACTCTCAAAGATAAAAATTTATATCAATGTGTGCCTCAAAGATAAAAAATCTCAATTTGCACCCTCAAAAATATAAATTTGTATCAATGTGCACATAAAATTAAATTGATAAATTATACATAAATCCCATCATATTTGTCGGTTAATCATTCAGACCTCTTCACATTTAGAATATTACTCCTACATCTTATGACATTTGTACACGTATAACACGTAACCCATTTTCATTGATATCTATTAATATAACCGTTAAAAAATATAATTTTATCCTAATAAAAAATTATAATTTCATATTACCCTTTATTTTATAGGTTCAATATACTATAAAGTTCAAAATCTAGTTTACCATTTGAATGTCTAATAAAATATAGATATTTATATAATATTTTTCATATTACCTTTTATATAAATATCTACATTTTATTAGACATTCAAATGGTAAGCTTGATTTTTAACTTTAGAGTATATCGAATCCACAAAATAAAATGTAATATAAAATTATAATTTTATATTAGGATAAAATCATATTTTTTAACGAATATTAATATATATCAACGAAAAGTGGTTATGTGTTACACATGTATAAACGTCATGAGATATAAGGGGAATATTCTAAATGTGAAGGAGTTCAAATGATTAAGTGACAAACATGAGGGAATCAAGGTATAATTTATTAATTTAATTTTAGGTGCACATTGATACAAATTTTTATCTTTGAAGGTACAAATTGAGATTTTTTATCTTTGGGGATGCACATTGATACAAATTTCTATCTTTGAAGGTACAAATTGAGATTTTTTATCTTTGGGGATGCACATTGATACAAATTTCTATCTTTGAGGGTGTAAATTGAGATTTTTGATCTTTGGGGTGCACATTGATATAAATTCCTATCTTTGAGGGTATAAATTGAGATTTTTGATCTTTGAGGATGCAAATTGAGATTCGAACAATCTTTCGGGTGTAAAATGAGATTAACCCTTTTTTTTTTAGTTTAACGCTCCGTTTGATATGAATACTATAAAATATATTTTATATCCTTTAAAAAAAATAGAAATGATATACTTTCTTTTTTATGTGTTTAGTATGATAAATGAAAAATAAAAATAATTATTTTTATTTTAATTGCTAAGATTAAGGATGATAAATGAATAGTACGAGTCATTGTGGGTTTATGCCGAATATTAGTCAAACATAATTCAATTCATTTAACTAATAGTGTTTGTCAATTCATTTTATATCCTTCAAAGAAGAAAAATAGAAAAGATATATTTTTTTTCCTATGTATTTAATATTATAAATAAAAAATAAAAATAATTAATTTTATTTTAATTGCTAAGATTAAGGATGATAAACGAATAGTACGAGTTAATATGGGTTCATGCCGAATATTAGTTAAACATAATTTAATTCATTTAACTAATCGTGTTTGTTGAGTTGACCTATTTATTTTCGTATCATGTTGACCCATATAAACTTTGAATGACAAATTTAACGCTAATATTCTATTTTCACTTAATTTAATTTATGTTCATACTTTTTTTACAAACTAAAAAATAATTTAAATAAATATAATAATAATATTTTTTTACATAATAATTATGTCGGTACTTAATAAATAGTTACAAATAATTAATATTTTATGTCTATAATATTACTTAATATATTAATTTCGTGTTATCATTCAAACGAGAAAATATAGAAAGTATTTATTTTTAGATAAACGAGTTGATGATGTCAATTTTGAGTTTGACGAATTGAACTAAATATGAGCCGTTTATATTTCGTATTCGTGTGTCAGATCATTTTCGAGTTCGTGTCATAAAATTCGTATCAAGTTTGAGTTGTGTCATCGCGTTGAGTATAAAATTTTCACTCTTAACTAAGATGAAATATATATATATATTATTTTTTTTTTTCTTTTAAATTTTTTAAACATATATAAATATATATTTTATCATTATATTTATATATAAAATTAATGTATACCTAATATATATATATATATATATATATATATACATATTAATTTATTTTTAATTTTTTTTAAAAATTTATAAATACATATTTTAGCATTATATTTGTATATAATGATATATATTTTATTTCTATCATATCAGACGGAGCATAAGTTCTATTGTTATGGATCGTTTAATAACATTTCTTTTTATGGTTGTTGTAAATTTTTTTTTTTTTTTGTTTTCTTCAGTATCTGAATTATCTTTTGTTTTTAATAGAAAACTTAATAGTACATAGTTGTCCACCTACATAAGTACCTAGTTTGTAAACCCAAATGAGTAAAAATAGAATTACTTTTTGGATCTATTGAATCTATTTTAATATAGTAAATTTTGGATATTTATAATTAGTCATTAACAGCATATATCAATTAAATGGAAGTCATTAATGATTATGGAATTCAAAATATCCGAGTGACTACTTAAGGGGATTAAAATGTGGTCAAGTTGGATTATTATTTAAATGTCATGATAATTGTATAAATAGTTGTCAAACTGCAAGTTGGTTAGCATAAAGATAATTGCATCTTAATAAGGGATCATATCCTAGCCTCCAATAAATAGATTCATGGAAGGATAGGATTGAAATAATATATTACTTTAACTAGATATACTATTATTAAGTTTCAAAACTGGGGGCGTGATCATGTCCATCTCTTAAAATGAAATTTTAAGAATTTGTGGAAATAAAAAGTTATATGGGTGATTTGATAAGATAATATTTTTTATCAAAAAATATTCTTAATCTAACATTTTTGAAAAATACTTTCTATGTTGATTTACGTTAGCCAATTCCTATTTTTTGTCAAAAAAAAGACTATATCTTATATATATATATATATATATATATAGGGGTTGAAATGAAATTAGAGCCAAGGGTTGGAAGCTTTTAATTTTTATTTAAATAAAATAATTACACAATTTACCACCGCTGCAAATTAAATTACTTGTGTACAACACAATAATTTAATGTTATGTTATATGCTGCTTGCCTCTTATCAGCACTTGGAAGATTTTATTCCTCGCAGCATAAATCACGGTGACATGGCTGTCATCGAGAATTAACAAAAAAAACGGACGGGCCAAATCCATAATACATTGACATGTGTCGTTCACGAGGTTCTCTTGTTATGAGCCACAAATAACAGGCTGTCAAAGCATCATAAATTCATTTTTGAAAAATCCCCAGCCCAGGTTGTCTGACATCATCCTCCTAGTAAGCCGGCTGGTTAAATATTTTATTTTATTTGCACAAAAAATGTTTTTCTGTATATGTGTGGGGTTGCCGGTGTCAGTTGTCTGTGGTCTGGTGGGACCCACAACCTCCGTCTTTCATGCGGTAAAGCAACCCAAAGCTGTTGGCTGTTTTTTCTTTGCTGTCTCTTTCCTTTTAAAATTTGACATTTAAAACCTCTTTCTTTTTTGTTTTTGAATTTTGTAAGTGGAGAGAGAGAGGAACAATAGTTTACGTGGGGCGATCATTTTGTCGGGACCAACTGAGAAAATTTGGGGTTGTGTGCTTAGGGTAAGGGATGGATGGAGAAAATACACCAACGGTTAAATTGTGTCACCACTATTTCGTAGTGTTATCACAATAAAAAAAAAAAATAAAACTCATTAATTTTATATATTATTTGATTAGATGTAATGGTTACCGATAATTATAAAAATAATGAGATTTATTTTATTTGTTTTTATTTTTTTAATTAAATGGTGATATTACGTGACAAAAATGACGTGATGTCACTGTCGGAACGTATGATGGGTGATGTTTATATGATAATTCTTTTTGTTTGATTTTTACTTATTCAAAATTTAAGTATTTTATCACCCGTACATTGTCATATCATTTTTTCCAGTGATTAGCATCATTGTATCATATTTGTTTCTAATTTTTGTCATTCTAGTATTTTTTTTATTCATCTTACACAAAATTATAAAAAAAATGTAATGTTTTATACTCATTAATGTCTAAAATTCATTAATCAATTCAGCCATTAGGTTTTATACTCATTTATAATAAATTTGGTTGGTTTTATGTTAAATCATGTTAAAAATTATTGAGATGGTATGTGGTTGATAATTTGAAAAAGTGCTTTAATGGTTGCATGTTTACCTATGCGCAAGCTTTGTGAGTACGATGAGATGTGAATGTGAGAATGTTGGAGGGTTCGGACACTGTGGACAGGTACTTTCTTAAAGTACTGTCATTATTTATCTTCTTTAGTTTACTCTCTTGCAACTGGCACATGATATTGAAAATCTCATCAAAGCGTTTTCAATGTATTTCATGTCTACGACCTCTTTTTTCAATTGTCTTAAGATTAAATCTACAATACCCATAAAAAGACATGAATATCATTTTATTTTGATTAGTTTGTTATGTTTGTGTATAAAAATAATAATTAATAAAACAACAGGAATTTACATATTTCAGAATCTACAATATCGACAAAATATTTTTCGGTACAATAATCAAACCTTTC